TCACAAAGTGATTCGTCTCCACCGATGACAGAGCGACCTCGCTTCGGTCCACCAGCTCCGTGAGCTGGTAACGCAGCTTTATGGAGTTCGTCGAGGACTTTGCCCGGACAGGCAGGCTCCCGAGGTCCACCAAAGTCAGCATGGACTCGTCGGGAGCGCCCTGCTTCCTGTGAGTCGGCGAATAGCCCGCAAAGCCAACGACGGTGAAGTCTTTGACGGTCTCGTACAACACGTCGCTCACGAAGACTTTCAAGAAATGCTGGTTCACAGCGTAGTTATCGATCAGAACGGAAGCCTCCAGGTCCCTCGTCGCGACAACCACGCTGTCCAACGGAGAGATCACCGAGATGGTCGGCTTGGTCTCTTCCTTGTACATCGCGCAAAGGTGGCTGTAACCCGAGCAATCCACCATGATTCCAGATTGCTGGAAGGTGACCTTGCCCCCGTCAGAGGGGCACGCCTTTGTCTCATCCTTCACTTTGATGTGCAGCTTGCCGTCCTTTGTGCACTTGTGGACCAGGCAGCTCGTGAAGACGGTCGAGTCGCCCAGCGTGTTCGTCTCAAAGCATCTCGAGCTCTCGCTGAACTCCTCGAAGAACCTGGTCGTGGGGTCGGCAGGCCCCCCGACGCTGTCCCTGCAGTCCACGTGGAATCCAGCGTTGTTGTACGAGTTCGAGGGCTCGGGCACAACCATCGGGCAGTAGTCCACTTGGCTGGATATGCCCCCCGTCCCACTCTCCGCAAGCCAGTACTCTGAATGCTCGGGGAGGTCCGCGCCCCACAGCTTTGTCACGCACATGCCCTTGTAGATCCTGTCGTAGGTGCATTGCTTCTGCTGCTGCGTTGGGTAAGGCATGCTCTCCAGGTTGTCCTTCGTGTAAAGGGCCGGCTCCTGGGAGAGCTTGCACAGGTACCTGCTCGCCTCCCCGGCCTGGGTTCCCCACGTCTTGCAGGCGTGCTTCACAAAATCGTTCCCGGCCCCTTTGCCCCAAGCAAGGTGGTCCGCGATCAGGAAATTCGGCTCGTACCACCCCGTCTCCTGCAGGTAGGCCAGGGAGATCGCAGACCTTGCCATGGGCCGGAGGAACCCGGTGTCCCCCCCAAAGCTCCACTTGTGCGTGGCGTCGTCCAAGGTCATGTCCCTCGCGTAAGGAGGAGGTGTCATGACCTCCCCGTTGTACACCCTGGACTCCAGGCAAAGTCCGCGGCACCGCACAGTAGGCGACGCCTCCGAGTTCTCCAGCTCCACGCCCTCCAAGCCGCTTGCCCCAAAGTGGCTCTCCGCCCTCCCCACTATCTTGGGCAGGTTGAGCAGAATCCTGTACCTCCCGGCCCAGGTGGTCCCTGACTGCTGTCTCTCGGTCGTAACGTTCTGGCCGTTGTACCCCATGAAGTCGGAGCGGAAGTACGTGTCCCAGCCAAGGGCCCTGTACAAGTAGTGCGTGACCGCGTCCACCGCGGCCAGGTGGGCGTCCACCGCGCCGAGGATCCTGTTGTCGCCCAAGACCCTCTGGAGCTTGGAGTCCTTGGTGATTCCAACGCCAGAGGCAAAGCCAGGGACCAGGTTCAGGTGGACGACGGCCGGCCGCTTGAGAGCGGCGGTGTCATTGAACCGGGAGCAGGCCCTCGCCTCGATGGCGCCCGCGAAAGATGGCCGGTGGGTCACGATGATGGCCACGTCCGCGTGGTGGCGTTCCATGCCCTGCAGGGCCTTGGCCAGGGGCAAGCTGTGGCACATCTGGGAGCCTCCGTCCTGCGCCGCCGCCTCGGTGGGCGAGGGGAGCGCCTCCGTCTTGAGCTCGCTGGCCGGCCTCTCGACGTGCTTCACCTTGAGGGCAGCCTCCACCCAGTTCACCGACGCCCTGAGGGCGTTCAAGTTCGCCACGCCCTTGGCCTCCTCCACGTAGTCTTCGGCCTTGCACTGGTAGTAGCAGTCCGTCTGCGTGAGCTGGTCGCAGAGGGGGGTGTACTCGGCCAGGGGCTTCCCATCGGACCCACCAAGGCCGTAGACCCTCACGGCATCGATGGTGTTGTATCCCACAACCTTGGACGTGTCCAGGGTGACCCTGTACTCCTTGGCCGGCACCCGCTTCGTCTTGAGCTGGGCGAAGACGGTCAAGACCCTGCCGTCCGCGCTCACCTTGGAGGCATCCGCGTCGCTGGAAGACCAAACTTCGGTCCACTGCACTTGGTCCAGGTCAAAAGCTTCGACCTTGGACACCGCTCCCGGGTTGTGGCCCTGGAACACCTCCATCTTGGTCACGTAGGTCGCCGTCTTGACCTCGAACTGGAAGAACTCCGTCCCGCTGTTCGGCTGAGACGAGGTCCAGGAGTACTTTAAGGTCTGGCCGAGGGTCGGCGGGGTCGACGCCGGGGACGGTGAGTCATCGTCACTCGGCTTTCCCACCAAGTAAGCGCTCGTCTGCTGCCCCTCGTAGATGTACTGGCTGCTCACCTGTGTCACCGTGTCCACGTGCTGGCAACCCGCACCGCACCCAGCAGGCGACCCAAACTTCACGTAAGAGGAAGAGGACGCGTAGCAGGCTCTCCCGTAGTCCTCCACCAGCCCTGGAGTGTGCACGTACGCCCTCAAAGGTGACCAGGACTCGGAGGACTGGGTCGCCACTGCTTGGCGTGGGTGTGCAAGACACAAGAGGAGACAGAGGAAGAGGAGCGAGGAGTTGGAGGAGGAGTTGTGAGGTTTCCGCCTCATGGTGACGACCGGTGTCTGCGGTTCTGCTGGATGAGCACCCTCTGATCGTCACCCTCTGATCGTAACCCTCTATTCGTTTGGCTTCACCAAAGTCAAAAGAAGAAGAAGAAGATTTTTGAGAAGAAAGGTTTTCAAACGAAACGTAAACTTTTCAGAAGCAAAACGCGGCTCGGAGGAGAGGATCATCAGAGCGGCCTGCCTCTGGGAAGATAGGAAGATGGATGGATGATGATGGATGGTGGGCGAGGGGTGGATCGACATTGTCTCCCGCTGCCCTCCAGCCGTCTTTTTTGGCGGCTGCGTGGGATGATGGTGGTGGTGGTGCTGCTGCTCGTGATAGCATGATATCAAGAGATGATGGTGAAGGTTGAGCAAGAGATGGAAAGGGCAAGGAAGAGGAGCGGAGGGATTATTACGGGATAGACGCGAGGAGGAGGAGGACGACGACGACGACCATGATTTGATTCTTCCTTGTTTTGTTACTACTATTATTATTATTATTATTCCATGCATCAGAACTTGAATTCCTTCTCCTTCTTCTTCTTCTTCTTCTCCTTGTCTTGCTGCTGCTGCGGGTTTTTCTCCGCGGCGGCTCCCGTCAACCCAACCTTTCCCCCCACCACGTACACCTTGTCGCTGCCCATCAGCTCCCCCTCGCCCACGGACTTCTTCGCCTCCTCCAAGACGGTGTAGAGCTCCTCGGACTTCCCGTCGTCCTTCCTGAGGTTGATGGCCTCCGGAGGCTTGGCTGGATCCTCCTCCAAGTCCTCCTCCTGGGCCGCTTGGTCGTCGCCCGTGACCATGTCGTCCTCCTCCATGCCGACGACGACGTCGTCGTCGTCGTCGTCCTCCAAGTCCTCCGGGTTCTCCACCTCCTCGTACTCGGACTCGCTCTCCTCCTCGCTCTCCATGGCCCCCCAGGCGAAGTCCACGCTCGTGGACACGTCCCCGTCCTTCTCCAAGGCGCCGCCCCTGCCGCGGAACCTCCCCCCGCTCCTGGTCCCGAAGACGTCGCCGTACAAGGGGTTGCCGAACTCGTCCACGGGAGGCTTGCCCCAGCCGCCCGGGTGGTACCCGAAGCTGGCGCCCCTCGGGATGGGGGCGTTCAGCCCGGGGATCACCAGGTGCGGGTAGGAAGGCGGCGGGCCGTACCTCTGCATGTTGATGAGCCAGGGCGGGGGGACGACGCCCTCCTCGGGGCCGCCGGCCGCCTCCGCCATGCCCCCGAGGCCCTGGGGGGCCCGCGCCATCCCCAAGGCGACCCTGACCTCCCGCGACAGCGGCATCCCCGGCCTCTTCTCCTTCAGCTCCGCCTCGTACTCCTTGCCCTCGTAGTACACCTCCCCAAACTCGCTCAGCTTGGGCTTGGTCTGGTGCTTGAAGAACGCGTCGTGCAGGACCTGGTAGTCGATCTCGATCTTTCCCATCTTCGGGTTCATCCTCTCCCTGCCCTGCGTCTTCAGCTTCGTCTCCTCCGAGTCCTCCTGGAACCCGCCGGTCTGCCTCATGCCCTCGATCCCGGTCGCGCTGATGAACGCCGGCAGCCTGAAGGGCGGCTTCTCGATCCCTCGCTTCCCCTGGAGGTAGTGCCGCTTGTGCGACCAGTGCGACGGAACCGGAACCGTGTTCCTGCAGCTCTTCAGCAGAACGAGGAGCTCCGGGTCCTTGGCGTCCGCGTCCCAGCCCTCCACCACCTCCGGCCGAGGGCAAACCTGCTTCAGTTGGGACAGCGGGAACTTCTTCTTCTTCTTCTTCTTGTTCTTGATGTTGTTCTTGTTGTTGTTGTTGTGCTGGTGGTCATCATCAACATCATCATCATCATCATCAACATCATCATCATCACCATCATCATCGGCATGGGAAGGAGCCGCCGGCGACGAGTACGTCGGCTCCTTCACATCGCCGTCGCCGTTGTCCTCCGCCGCCGCCTCCTCCTCCTCGCCTCCGTAGAACCTCTCCCAAACCTCTCGGAACGCCTCGTCGGTCCCCGGCAGGACTTGCTCCGCCTCGTACACGACCTCCACGTCCTCGCCGTCACGGGCGCGGGCCAGAGCCGAAGACGCCGACGCACGCTTCAGTCGCAGGGCGAGCGCGCTCACCCTCTTCCTCTCCTTCCGGGCGCGCCGCTTCTCCGCCGTGCGCCTGCGCGCCATCCTCGAGGAGTACACAGTCGTCGGCAAGAGACGCCGGCCGCGTCGGAGTCGGCGCGCTTCTGCGCCGGGCTCCGGGGTGTGGTATACATAGAGAAAAAACACATTTTTGTGCAACGTGCGATTTCAACGCACACGACGCTATGGCCGAGTGGTCCAAGGCGCAGGAGTAAGGTTCCTGTCCTCCGGGGCGTGGGTTCAAATCCCACTGGCGTCATCTAACTTATGCTCCGGGAGAGAAGGATTCTGTGAGAGACGTTAATTATACAAGGACAACGAGATCGTTGATCGTAACGGCGGAGGACGGCGAGGAGGACGGCGAGGGCGAACGAGGACGAGGCGAGAAGAGAAACAAACGAGTACGGGAGCGCGCAGAGGAGGAAAAGAGAGAGGCGGAGGACAGGAAGGTCGTCGTCATCGTCTCTTGCTCGAACGAGCCCTCGCGCGCGACAAGAAGGACCCGGTGGTGAGGATCGTCTGAGGAGCACGGAAGTGAAGATGGAGGAGACGAGGGGAGCGAGCAAGAGGCAGAGGATTGAGCCCAAACACGCGCTGGAGGTGTTGCCAGGTAGTGCATGGCGCATCATTGGCAAGCATGTGGCCGACTTCGACCGGGTCGCTTACGGGTTTACCTGCAGGACGTTCCTCGAGGCGGTGACAATGGCGACGGCGAACCCTGATCCGAAGAAGAAGGTTGCTCTGAAGACGGACCTGACGGACGACAAGTTGTTCGAGCAGATGCCTCGCTTCAGTTTGGGTTGGTTCCAGTGGGTGCTTCGGTCGTTCAAAAGGAGGAAGGGAGCACGGCATAACTGGGAATACTACGATCACTTGTACGACTCTGACCTGCTGCACCTCGCCGCTTTCCAGGGCAGCAAGAAGGTGATCAAGTGGTTGGTGAGCCAAGGGATCCCTTTGGATATGGAGCGCGAGGATGACGATGGTATGGAGCGCGAGGATGACGATGGGGTACCCGCATCGGTGGTAGCAGCTAAAGGAGCTGCTTGCGGAGGTCATATTGAGTTGCTCGAATGGTTGAGGAGCGAGGGGTGCTGGTTTGATGAAGAGACTTGTAGAGGGGCAGCTGCAGGAGGTCACCTTGAGGTTCTGCAGTGGGTTCGAAGCCAGGACCCGCCTTGCCCTTGGGACAAGAGGACTTGTTCAGTGGCAGCTCGAAGAGGTCACCTTGACGTTCTGCAGTGGGCTCGAAGCCAGGACCCGCCTTGTGATTGGGACGCGGGGACTTGTGAATATGCAGCTCGAGGAGGTCACCTTGATGTTCTGAAGTGGGCTCGAAGTCAGGACCCGCCTTGTGATTGGGACTCGGGGACTTGTTGGGCTGCAGCTCGAAGAGGTCACCTTGACGTTCTGCAGTGGGCTCGAAGCCAGGACCCGCCTTGTGATTGGGGCGCGAGTACTTGTTGGGGGGCAGCTGCAGGAGGTCACCTTGATGTTCTGAAGTGGGCTCGAAGTCAGGACCCGCCTTGCCGTTGGGACTCGGGGACTTGTAGAGAGGCAGCTGCAGGAGGTCACCTTGATGTCCTGCAGTGGGCTCGAAGTCAGACCCCGCCTTGCCCTTGGGACCGGCAGACTTGTGAATTGGCAGCTAAACGAGGTCACCTTGCTGTTCTGCAGTGGGTTCGAAGCCAGGACCCGCCTTGTGATTGGAACTGGATGACTTGTGCTTTAGCAGCTCGATTCGGTCACATTGACGTTCTGAAGTGGCTTCGAAGTCAGACCCCGCCTTGCCCTTGGAACGCGGAGACTTGTTCTTGGGCAGCTCGAGATGGTCGCCTTCACCTTCTGCAGTGGGCTCGAAGCCAGGACCCGCCTTGCCCTTGGGACGAAATGACTTGTGAGTGGGCAGCTGAAGGAGGTCACCTTGAGGTTCTGCAGTGGGCTCGAAGCCAGGACCCGCCTTGTGATTGGAACCCAGCGGATTGCAGAAGAGAGGCGAAGTTCTTCAATCGCCAGCACGTCATCGAATGGATCGATGCCAATTCGTAACCAAGAACAATGTCTCACGACGAACCTGTCATCGACCTTCGCTTCCTCTTCTGATTCCTCCTCCTCCTTTCTCCTTTGCTCTTTCTCTTCCGGTGGATTTTCTCCCTTCCGCTGAACCATCATAACGGCCCGAGGCCACGAGGGGCCGAACGAGGACGAGCACGAGAGAGAAACGAAGAGGACGGGAGCGCGTGGAGGAGGAAGAGAGAGAGAGAGAGAGAGAGAGAGACAGATGCGACTGGTCCAAGCCTGGTCCGCAACAAGAGGAAGAGGAATTCCATTCCATGGGAGGAGGAGGAGGACGAAGATATCCACCTGACGTTGAGCCTGCGCAAACTGCGGATTCTCGGGGATGATGGGTGCAGGGTCAACAAGGGTCAAGGAGCTACTGTTTTGTTTCGCTGCGCTTGGTCGTCGAGAACAAGAAACAGATCCTCGATCAAACAATCAACTTGACCACAGGTTAATGGATCATTCTTGTTGTGTGTCATGTTTTGCAATGTGTCTTTCCTCTCTCTCTGGTCTCTGCTCTGGTCATTCCCCCTCTGCATCGGCGGAAGGAATGCTTTTGGGTTTGGGACATAATCTTCCGCCAACCAGTCCTGCCGCAAAGATACCCAATAGTCCTGGTGGTTCCAATCGGTAACGGTGTCCTTGCAGAGCTCCATGAACCTTGCTGTTTGCTCGGCAGACCAACGATTGATGGGGTCTGCGTCATTGCTGGGTCGTCGAACTTGCGCTGGGACGCCTTCACCCGGTCTCGACATTCCTCCTGGTCGAACCCGAACCTCCCCGACACCATTCTCGTCCCATCGCTGGCGTCTCTCCTCGTCCACCAGTGTAGGGTCGGAAGCGCCACTTCTCCCGTGGGATAACACGATTCGCTTCTCCCCTTCGCTCCATCTGGGAGCCCTCCCCTTCTTCGTCGGGCGGTGCTTGACCCAAGACCATGGTCCTCTCTCCAGCTCCCGCCAGGTCACACACCTCCTCGCCGTCCTCCTCGCCGTTACGATCAACGATCTCGTTGTGATCCTTGTGTACAATTAACGTCTCTAACCGAATCCTTCTCTCCCGGAGCATAAGTGAGATGACAACCGTGGGATTCGAACCCACGCCCCGGAGGACTAGCGCCTGAAGCTAGCGCCTTGGACCACTCGGCCAGATTGTCAATTTTAACTCGCCAATTTCAAGTATTTTCCTGGTACATATACATCTGCTCCTCCGGAGATGATGGGGAGATTCCTGTTTGACCTCCGCCCCGCGCCGAGGAGGACGTTAGAAGAAGGCTGCAGTACAGAGAGAGAGAGAGAGGGAGAGGCGAGGACACCTCCAAGACAGACAGACGCCTCGAAGACGACGACGCGGCGCTCCACTCGACTCGACTCATTGGAAGTGTCTCTACGTACCTGCGTCTCTCGGCTCGGTCGCCCTCTGTTCGTTCGTTTCATTTAGAAACGGTGGTACGGCGGTATTGGTTTCTTCTTCTTCTTCTTCTTCTTCTTCTTTATTGCTTAGCTTCCCGTGCCATGTGCTCCCCGAGTAAGCGGCGCGAGATGGACGTCATGAAGCTGTAAGTGGTCGCCTCCCTCCCCTTTCAAAACCTTCTCTGACTCTCTCTCTCTGGGTCTCTCTCTCTCTCTGACTCCTCTCTTCTCTCTCTCTTTCTCTCTTTCGTAGCATGATGAGCGACTTCAACGTCCAGGTGGAGAACGACAACATCCAGGAGTTTTGCGTGAACTTCAAGGGACCCAAGGACAGTAAGTCGGCACCAAGATCGTCGTTCTTCTTCCACGACACCACGACACCACCTCTGACGTGACGCGCTCTGCTCCCTTCTTCCAACCAGGTCCCTACGAGGGTGGGGTGTGGAAGGTCCACGTGGAGCTGCCGGAGGCGTACCCGTACAGGTCCCCCTCCATAGGCTTCGTGAACAGGATATTCCACCCGAACGTGGACGAGATGGCGGGCAGCGTGTGCCTGGACGTCATCAACCAGACCTGGAGCCCCATGTTCGACCTCATCAACGTGTTCGAGGTGTTCCTGCCGCAGCTTCTGCTGTACCCCAACCCCACGGACCCCCTGAACGGGGAGGCCGCGGCCCTGCTCATGCGCGAGCCGGAGCAGTACAACAAGAAGGTCAGGGACTACGTGCAGCGGTACGCCCTGCCGGAGAACATCGACAACGTCAAGACCGGCGGGAACGACGACTCCAGTAGCGACGGAGACGGGTTCAGCGACGAGGACAGCCAAAACTCGCTCATGGACAGCGACGAGGACGACGACGACGGCATGGTCCAGAACATGGACGCTTGAGGCGAGAGCTTGTGTCGGATTCGGAGGAGAATCCAAAAATTGTTTGTACCAATAGTTTATTCCGCGCGGGGGTTGGAGGAGGAATCTTAGTAGTTACGACGAGGCGAGGAACGCTGAAGGGAAGTGGATGATGGTGGTGGGGGCGGTGGTGACAGAGCACGCACACATTGTTCTCCGAAGGTAAATCACTAATGTATTGTGTTTGCTCCGCACACACACACACACACACACACACACACAAAATCAAATTGTAAACCTACCTACTCAGGACAACACAAAATCAAGACAGAAGAGCGAGAGCGGGAGGCTCTCCGAAACAGGAACCGGTAGCCCCACACCGAGATGCCATCGGGGCACTGGACCTTCGCCGCCGTGATTCACAAGATCGATCGCAGTCTCGAAGTCTGTCTCCAAAAGCGAGCGAGCGAGCGAGCATTCCAAAAACGAAATGAGTGTGTGAACCAACCAACCAAGAAGAAGCAAAGGAGGGTGTCACACCCACCATCGATTCCGTCCATCCATTTTCTTCCTCCTTCACACCACCTTGGCCTTGGGCCTCCAATGACAACAAAACAGACCAAAGACATAGACGACGTCAAGAGGAAGGAAAAGTAAAAAGAGGTTCGCTCATTCGTTCGTTACAAAGAGAGAGAGAGAGAGAGGCGTGCCGATAGTGGATTGCGGATGCGCTTCCTAATAAAGGATGTCACATCCACCATCGATCCGTCCATCCATTTTCTTCCTCCTTCACACAGGAAAGCAAAGGATGTCATCCTCCCCATCCTCATCCTCCATGGCGTGATCGTGATGGAGCCGCGCGCGATGTAACTGTAACTGTAACTGTAACACCCCTCCCCTCCCTCCCTCCCCTCCCCACCAGCAGCAGGACGGAGAGAGCGCGCTTTCGGCCTCCAGAAAAACCGAAAAACCCCCGTGTTGGGCCCAAGACGGGATTAGCACAGAGAACAAGTCGAAAATCTCGTGGACGATCCTGAAAGAAGGTGAAACCTACTGCAGCCGCGAGAGGGGGGTGAAGGAAGAAGGCGAACAGAGGGCGGACACGCTGCGCGGCCTCGAGAGACACAGAGAGACGAGTGAGACAACCGCCACCACAGCAACCCAGAGGAGAGGGGAGCGGGGCATCGCGTGAAGAGGAGGTCGTCGGTTTTTTTTTTTTCTTTCGCCTTCTTCTTTCTTTTCTTTTTATATTTTGGTCAGCCCGAGTTGTGCGTGAGCCATGGCGTCGAAAAGAATTCAAAAGGAGCTTCAGGTAGGTGAACCGAACCGAACCGAACCGAACCGAACGGAACCGCTTGAGAGAGAGAGACAGACAGACAGGGGGAGGGAGTGGTTCTCCTAAAACCCCTTGTCCTCTTCTCCTCCCGCCCTCTCTCCGATCAAAGAGTGAAAGAGTGTTGTGATCCACTACTTCTCTCTCTCTCTCTCTTTCCACGAGGAGCAGGAGGAGGCCTCGTAGATCCTTGCGGGTCCTCCTCCTGCTCGTCCTGCTCTCTGCTCTAGTTGCTGACCGGCTTTCCGTTTCCTTTGGATCTCCAAAAACAACTTTTTTTTTTTTTAGGATCTCCAAAAAGATCCGCCAACCTCTTGCAGTGCTGGACCAGCTGGAGAGGACCTGTTTCACTGGCAGGCCACGATCATGGGGCCTCAAGATAGCCCTTACCAGGGAGGAGTGTTCTTCATAGCGATCCACTTCCCTCCGGACTACCCGTTCAAGCCACCAAAGGTGAACTTCCAGACCAAGGTGTACCATCCAAACGTGAACTCCCAGGGAAGCATCTGCCTAGACATCCTGAAGGAGCAGTGGAGCCCGGCCCTCACCATAAGCAAGGTCCTTCTCAGTATCTGCTCCCTGCTGACAGACCCAAACCCTGATGACCCACTGGTGCCAGAGATTGCTCACATCTACAAGACGGACAGGCAAAGGTACGAGGAGACTGCGAGGGAGTGGACTAGAAAGTACGCCATGTCGTAGACCAAGCGACGCGACGGAGACGCCAGACCTCGGTTCCACACGTTGTGGAGGAGGAAGGGAGCTAGGTGGGGGGCAGGGAGCTACCCCGCCAAGGAAACAAACTCCTTTTCGAAGAAGAGCGAGGACCGTGTCTTGGAGCGCGCGAACAATTTAACATACTAATCAAACAAAAAAGAATGCGCATGAATACGCATAAAATTCTTCTTTCATTTTTTGTGCCACCTCCAGTCCTGTGCCTCTCTCTCCTGCCCCCCAAAAACTACTTCCTCTCTCAACCAAGAACTCTCAAGCCCAAACCCAACCCCCCAAACCTTGGCTTTGCTGATGTCAGCGCATCGATCGACGCAACGATCACACAGAGAGGAGGACAAGGACAAGGACAAGGACAAGGACAAAGTTTTAGAACAACATTCATCCATTCATTCGTTCCTCCATCCATTCCATTCCTCCAATCATCCACCCCTCCTCCTCCCTGGCTGCTGGCGGATTGCTGGCGGATTCTAGGGAGACAGACAAAATAATTTTGGCTTGGGCTTGGCTTGGCGCGTCGATCGGTTGATCGGTTCGGAGGGTTTGGGTCCGGACAAGAGGACCGTGTCTCGTAGGAGACCAAAGACCAAGGTCGTCACTTTCGTGCCTGCCACGAATAAAGAACCGGATCTTGCCGCCGAAGAAAAGACTTTGTCCAAGGTTCTTGGCTTGACCCACACAAACACACAAACACACAGAGAAAGAGAAAGAGAGAGCTCAGGTCATCATCATGAGGGCACCACGTTCTCGTAATAAGCATACTGTGGTGGTGTTGTCGTCTTTCCTCGTGGGTGTCTTGCTTTTGTCCACGACGGTGGTGGGTTTGGCTCGAGCGGAGGGGGACTCTGTGGCGACGACCACCTCGTCAGACTCTGACTTCAAGGAGGACCTCGCCGACGCGATAGAGCAGCAGGAGTTCCGGGAGGACGTGGACAAGGAGGTGATCTCTCATATCGTAGACGTGGCGCCGGAGGTGGAGCTGACGAACGGAGACGGTGACGTGAGCACCACGCAGAACTGCACTGTGGACATCGATGTGTTCTGCTCGGACGTGACGCCTGGCAAGGGGAGGCTGGCCAAGTGCCTGCAGGAGCAAGTGAACGAGGAGAAGATGGGAAATGCCGAAGGAAGGAGCGTGAGCCAGTCGTGCAAGTTCGAGCTGAAGACCTTCCAGTACCTGAGGGCCACGAACATCAACTTGAACGTTCCTTATGCGGAGGCCTGCAAGGACGACGTGGAGGAGCACTGCGAGGACATCACCGAGGATGACGGGGAGGACGCCACGATCTTGATCCAGAACTGCTTGAGGAAGAAGAAGTACCAGATCAGCCAGAAGTGCAGGACGGAGCTCACGACCGTGCTTCTCGGCCAGGCAAAGGACTTCAAGATGAACGTGGAGCTCTTCTATTCGTGCAACGACGATGTGGAGAGGCACTGCAAAGATGCGAGCGGCGATGGTGGCGTCCAGGACTGCCTGATGAAGAAGAGGAGGAAGCTCGAGTGGGAGTGCGAGGAGGCCTTGCTGAGGAACATCGAGGACAATTCTGACGATCTCAGGCTCTTGAGCTACAAGATTTACAAGACTTGCCTGCCGGACAAGAAGAAGTTCTGCAAAGAGATCGAGCTCGGGAATGCAAGGACCCAGGCGTGCCTTGAGAGCCAGATGAACGAGCCTGGCTTCTCTCAGGCGTGCCGCAAGGAGCTGCTCTACCTTCAGGAGCAGAGAACCACCCAGTGGCAATGGGACACTCAGCTCAAGAACGGCTGCAAGAAGGAGATCCCTGAGCTCTGCGGATACAGCGACGACGAGATGTTCTACGGAGACGAGGACAACGACGTCAACGAGGACGAGATCTCGCTGGACGACTCCACTGTTGTGAACTGCTTGGTGGACTACAGGGACGAGATCACAAACGAGGAGTGCAAGGCTCAGGTGGAGAAGAAGATTGTGGGCGGCAGCAAGAACATTCGCCTCAACAGGAGGGCCTTTGAAGCTTGCTTTGACGACCAGAACAAGTACTGCAGGGACGTCAAGCCAGGGGAGGGGCTGGTTTACGAGTGCCTCAGGAAAAGCGGGGGGAACCTGGCCGAGGAGTGCAAGAAAGAGCTGTTCGAGGAGGCCAAGCTGGAGAGCGAGAATGTCGACCGGAACCCACAAATCATGAAGAAGTGCAAGCGGCTTATGAAGTCCAAGTGCAAGGACGTGTCTCAGGGGGAGGGGAGGGTTCTCGATTGCCTCACCAAGAACATGAATGCGCCCCAAAACACGCAGGCGTGCAAGCAGGAGCTCCACAACTACCTCGTTCTCCACATGAAGGACTACAGGCTCGACTATGGCCTGAGCCACGCCTGCAAGGGAGATGTGGCCAAGTTCTGCGAGGGGGACAACATCCAGTGCCAGGCGGACAGTGAGCTGGCTTGCCAGGGCGAGGTGTACAACTGCCTGATCGGGAACTTGACGTCCCTGACAAACCAGTGCAAGGCGCAGGTGAAGGAGGCTGTGGCCACGCACGCCCTTAACGTGAGATACGACCCCCAGCTCTTGGACGACTGCAGGGACGATATCACGAACTTCTGCTTGCTCGAGTTTGGATCCTCGGCCAACGAGCAGTACGCTGTCCACGATTGCTTGTTCCAGAACATTGGTCAGCTCTCCAAGAGGTGCAAGAGGCAGGAGTACAAGTTGGAGTCTGCGAAGCTGAGAGATGTGGAGCTCATGCCCCACATCATGAAGGACTGCCCCACCGAGCTGGCCTCTTACTGCAGGGATGTCCCTCATGGCAGCGGCCAGAAGTGGTCGTGCCTCTCCCACTACGCCATGTCCAAGCCCTACTCCCCGGACTGCCTGAAGAGCATGTACCTTCACACGAAGCGCATCTCTCAGAGCAAGGGAATCGAGCCAGAGGTGGCCGCAGGGTGCAAGCACGAGCTGAAAGACTGCAGGAAGCACGTCGGAGGTGACCGCGACGGGTACTTCACTCCCATGAAGTGCCTGGTGTTCGGATCGTCCGACGACCCGAGCGTGAAGAACTTCACCAAGACGGGCGCCTTGTGCCAAAAGCAAGTCGCCAAGTACACGAGGCAGGGATTCTACTTTTTCTTTGGGGGCTCCAAGCTCCTGGAGGTCTGCGACGCTGACGTGGCCACGCACTGCGGGGAGTACAAAGAGTCCCCCGAGATGGACGACGGCGGCGAAGACCTGGCCGGGGAGGATGCCTCCTCGAGCTTCGAGTACGCCCCCGGGAGCGTCCTCAGCTGCTTGGCGAAGGCGGGCGCGGACAACCTGAGCGACGACTGCAGACAGCTCGTGCGGGTGGGACTCTTGGGGGACACCCTGAACAAGGACCCCACCGCCCCGATCAAGATGAAGGAGGGAGGGGGGAAGAATGAGGCCGGAAGGGACGAAGGAGAGAGCCGAAGGGACGAGGACAGAGGACAGGCCACAAGGAGCGGAGGAGAAACGGCGCCCGCAGGAGGGATCGTGATCCGCGGGGGGCTGGCGGTCATCAGCATCGGCTGCTTCGTTCTGGTCATCTTGGGAGTCGCCTTCTTCATTTACAGGCACTACTATGGAGGAGGAGTGGGGATGGTGGGCAGAGGGGGGAGGAACCCTTACACCCTCGTCATGAAGCAGGGGGACGTGTAGAATGAATAATGATTTGTATGTATTTTTTCGCCCCCGGTGGTCGCAACTCCGCCATCATGAAGCAGGTAAACCCTGCGTCACAACCGCCACCGTGCTTTTATTTCAAAAATAGATGGTAGGGATTATTGGTTTCGCCTTCCTTTCCTCTCGTGCCATTTGGGGATGCATGGCATGATGACGGACAGGTAGGCCTAGGCCTCCATCATCCTCATCATCTCTCTCTCTCTCTCTCCAAATATTTTATTCTTGCTCCCACAAGTCATGGAGGAGCCTGGCTTCTTCTTCGGGGCTCTGAGCCTCAGCAGCGACGAGGAGGAGGGCGGCGCAGGTGGGTGCGGGACGACGGGGAGGAGGATCTGCGAGGGATGCGACAGGCCCAAGAAGAACGCTTGCCTTTGCTCCACATTTCCTGCGGGGGGACCCATTGAGCTCAGGGGGGGGAAGGTGATTGTCCTGCAGCATCCCAACGAGAAGAAGAGGAAGCTCGCGACTGTGGCCATCCTCAAGAAGGTCCTGGGTTCGTGCGACGTGCTGGTCGGAAGGCAGTTCACCGCCGAACGGTACCCTGTCCTGGCGGAAACGCTGAGGCTAGCGAGGGACGGGTCGGTGGACGTCTTCGTGCTCTACCCTGGAGCCAAGGCCGAGAGCTTGGAGGACCTCGCGGAGGAGAGGAGGGCATCGGCCGAGGGTGACGGGCGGCGGTGGGTCCTCATCGCCATCGACGGGACGTGGCAGCAGGCCAAGGAGATGTTCACGTTCTGCCGGGACCTCCTGCTTCCGCGGGGGGTGGAGAACGCCAGGAGGGTCGAGCTCAACAGGAGGGGCGGGGGCGGGGGCGAGGGCGAGGGCCTGCTCCTGATGACGGAGCCGGATCAGGGGTGCGTGACCACGATGGAGGCCATCGCCACGGCCGTCTCGATCATGGAGGGCGGCGAGGCCATGGAGGAGGCCCTCCTGGCCCCCCTCGCCAAGCTGGTCTCCCTCCAGAAGGGCTTCAACCCGGCCGTGAAGGCGCGGCTGGGGGTCGGGGGGAGCAAGCACACCAAAACCAGGAGGTCCAGGCTCAAGGACTGACGGGCTGGAGGAGGACTTTTCGTTTGGTTTCTGTTGCTCATTGGGCCAAGAAAGGCGCAAAACCAAATATTTTTTAATTTTTTATTTACTATTTTATTGTCTCGTTTGTATTTTGCTCACCGGGGGGGGGGAACAGGATCCTACATCGCGGGCGGAAGCCGAGCGAGTGAGCTCTTTGCCTTGCACTTGGCTCGCCCACCTGTCGCAGAGATGGTGAGCGGAAGAAGCAATGCTGCTCCCAATTCCCCAGTCCTCTCGCTTGGTGTTGCCTCTCCCTCCTCGCTCCTCAGCCGATTCAGAACATCAAGCAAAACAGGGTGGCCTTCATTATAAATCGTCATCATTGCGATCGACCTATTGATCCTCTCTTCTCCTCTCCCTCTCTTCCTTGTCAGTTGAACTGCTTCAGGATGGTCTCGCAAGTGTAGTAGTACGACCCCCCGAAGAGGTTGTAGTGGTTCAGGTAGTGGTACAGCTGGTACAGCTGCCTCCTCTCGCCGTAGCCCGCGGGCTCCTTGGGGACGACGTCCTCGTACGCCCCCCAGAACCTGTCGGTGAAGCTGGCGCACCAGCTCATGCCGAATTCGGCCTCGTGGTGCCCGTAGTAGCAGGCGGGGTCGTAGATGACGGGGTTTCCCGCCCGGTCCGCGGCCACGTTCCCGCTCCACAGGTCGCCGTGGAGGATGCTCGGCCTCACGGACCCGGCTACGGGGGAGAACACCTCGTCCAGCCTCTCCAGCGCGGTCTCCCCCAGCCTCAGCAGCTTGGTGTCCCCCGTCAGCTTGAGCTGGTGCCAGAGCCTCTTCTCCCGGTAGAACTCCACCCAGTCGGCCGTCCAGTCGTTCGGCTGCGGGGTCGCCCCGATGCTGTTGTCCACGAAGAACCCGAACGGGCGGGACTCTTCTTCGTCTTCGTCTTCGTCTTCGTCTTCGTCGTCCCTGGACGCCACGACGGGGTCGGCCATGTGCATCAGCCCGAGCTTCAGGCCGAGCTCCGCCTGGTCCAATCGTCCCGAGAGGTCCACGAACTCCATGAGGATCCAGCTCCCTTTGCCGGACCCGTAAAGGTCGTCGTAGTGGAACGCCCGAGGCACCCCCACGGTCCCCGTCCCGTTCATGGCGTTCAGGCCCTCGTACTCCCCGCGAAACATCTCGTCCTTCCCCCTCCCCTTGGCGATCTTGGCGAAGAGCTTCCCCCCTCCCTTGAGGTCCAGCACGTGGGTCTGCGCCCACCCGCTCCCCCCTCCGCCTCCACTCACCCTCACCACGCTGCCCAGCCTCGACGCCAAGTTCGCATCGATCCACAGCTTGATCTCGTCCAGGGGCTCCAGAGGCAGGTCAGAACTCGACCGGAGCACCGCCGCCGCCGCCGACAAGGGACGACGACGACGACGACGACGACCCCCGAGTCGAGCAGAGGAGGAGGAGGAGCAGCAGCAGCAAGGGGATGCCGTTGCCTTCCTCGTCATCCTCATCCTCATCCTCATCCTCGTCTTCCTCGTCCTCGTCCTCGTGGTGGTGGTGGGTTTCCTTCCAAGAGGGAAGCGGCAGGAGGGAGGGATGCTGCTGGTGGTGGTGGTGGTGCGTCAACAAAAGCGCGCGCTGGTGCTCGCTCGCTTGCCTTTGGCCGAGGCCGAGGACACGTGAGGAAGAAGTGGAGTTGTGTTTGATTAAGGAATTGGGACCGAGCCTTGGGTTCGCCTCTCTCTCTCTCTCTCTCCCTCTCCTCGGTCGGAGAGATTAGAAAGGGAGGGGGCGGGGCGCAACAGGATATATAGACAAAAAGGTCATGAGAGAGATCCAACGAACGACGCTGTGGCCGAGTGGTCTAAGGCGATGGATTTAGGAGAAGTCGAGTGAGCGAGCGGAACGAGATGCGTCTCTCGCCCGTTTCTCGGGACTTCGAAGCTCTCCATTCCTGCGGGGCGTGGGTTCAAATCCCACCGGCGTCAACTTTTTTTTTTTGTCCCTCTCCCCCTCCCGCCCTTCCCGCCCGATCGTCCGTTGTTCGCAACGCCACCCCACAAGTCACAAGCCTGTTCCTGTTCCTGTTGGTCTTCGTTCTCCCTCCACCTGGGCTCCTCGATCGATCGATCGATGCCAGGTGCCACCTCTTCTTGCTGCTGCTGCTGCTGCTGGCGGATCGCCAGGGCAAGCACCTCAAGCCCCTTGAACGTTTTTGTCACCTCCAAAAGCACAAAAGAAACACGCACGTCGTCGATCCCTTCCAGAAGAAAGGCAGCATCTTTCGTTTCGCCTCAGAGCGAGCAAGTGGAGCGAGAAAAGAAAGGCAGCATCTTTCGCCTCCTCCTCCTCACGTGAGCCCCCCCCCCCCGCTCCTCTTCGTCTCTTGTGCGTGTGTTCGTTGGAACACAAACGACAGAAACCTCTCTTCCCTTCCTCTTCCCTTCTTTATGACCGTCTTCTATAGAACATTTGATCCCAGGGACAAGATCCATCCGTTGCTCTGGGGTGGAGATAAAGCGACAGAATCCAAGCGGCCTTGGAACGAGAGAGAGAGAGTGTGTGTGTGTGTGAGAGAGAGAGAGCACAAAGACGGGACACGGGACACTCTCCACCTGAGAGCCTTTCCTTTTCTCGCTGATTACCTCTTCTCCTCTTCTCCTCTTGTTCCTTTTTTTTTCCTTTTCCACCGGAACCGGGGTTTCGCGAGACCACCAACCCAAAGATGTCTCATCAACATCATCAGGAGCAAACGCGCTCCCAGCAACAACACGTGGCCGAAGCTCCTCCGCACCACCACCACATGAAGCCTCTGTCCGGGAGGAGGCTGAGCAACATCGAGCAGTACAAGCAGAGGGCGGCCCAGAAGCGCCAGGAGAGGATCCAGGGGGGAGGGCTGGCGAAGCAGTCGTACCTCAACAACAACGGCAAGCCCATGGCGCTTCACAAGGGCGGGAGCGGGAACGGGAACGGGAACGCCCAGAGGTCCACCCTGCAGCCGATTCCCCCCTCGAACTACTCCAACCCTCTGTCCTCGAACCAGCACCAGAGGTCCAAGCTCAGCGCACCGACGAGGGTCGTGGAGAAGAGGGCTGTTCAGCCCCCCCAGGGCAGCAGCAACAGGAGGAGCGCCGCTCCCCCCCCCGGGGCGGCGGACATGACGCTGTCCGAGAACATCATCAGCAACGCGACGACGGTGTCGGCGACGGCTTTGGCCCCAGCCCGCAGCCCCGGCGGGACCGCCGCTGCCCCGGCCCCGCTGAGGCTGTTCCAGGAGGTCCAGGACAGGGCGAACGTGAGGTCCGCGACGGAGCAGCACCTTCAGGAGCAAGGAATCATGCCAGTGTACGAGCCCCAGACGCACAGGGAGAGGAGCGAGCAGCAGAGGGGTTTGTCGACGAACGCCTCGGTGATCCCTGACTTGTCAGACAAGCGCCTGTTTCTGATGCAGCCGGGCCCCAAGGACGGCCACGTGCAGTGCACCATTAGGAGGGAGAAGGGGAACTTTGGGATGTACCCAAAGTACATCCTTCAGCTTGACGGCCCCGAGGGGGACTTCCTCCTTTCCGCGCGCAAGAGGAAGAAGAGCAAGTCCTCGAACTACCTCATCTCCCTGGACAAGGACGACTTGGCGAGGCAGTCTGGGAATTACTTTGGGAAGCTGAGAAGCAACTTCATAGGAACGGAGTTCGTGATCTTCGACAAGGGGTCAAAGCCTCAGGACAACGGAGCCAAGGGAATCCAGCCGAACGTCAGGAGCGAGCTGGGGGGCGTCCTTTACCAGCACAACATCCTTGGCACGAGGGGCCCTAGGAAGATGACTGTAGTCATCCCCTCCCTGGACTCCAAGGCGAGGAGGAAGTCCTTCGTCCCGGACCAGAAGGGGGAGTCGATCATGGACCTCTTCAAGGACACGAACGGGGAGAGCGACGACATGATCGTCTACCAGAACAAGTCTCCCGCCTGGAACGAGCAGCTCGGAGCTTTTTGCCTCAACTTCAACGGCAGGGTCACGGAGGCCTCCGTGAAGAACTTTCAGCTGGTCGAGACGGACGATAGCGACGACATCGTCTGCCAGTTCGGGAAAATTTCGGACAAGGAGTTCACCATGGATTACAAGTGGCCGATGTCGGCCCTGCAAGCCTTTGCGATCTGCCTGACGAGCTTTGACGGCAAGCTTGCGTGCGAGTGAGCCAAGCCATCGAGGAGGAGGAGGCTTTTTCGAACAGGTTGCTAAAACAATAGATATATGATGCATTGTATTAAAGTATAAGAGGCAATTTAGCATGGGGAACAAAATAATATGTTACAGTTTTGCGAATTATAATCCTTGCCCGCTTGCCCGTGTGCTTACGACGACGACCCACTCGCGCGAGGAGAGAGAGAGAGAGAGAGAGAGAGAGAGAGAGTTGTTCAAACTCCTCCTCCTCCTCCTGTCTCCCCCCCCCTCTCCCTCTGTCTCCCTCTGTCTCCCTCTAGTTCGATGGCTTCTGCAAGTTGGACATGACAACGAGCCCCACGCCCAAGCCCACGAGGATGACCCAACCTGCTATGTCGTAAAGATAGTCCGTGTTGGCGCTCTGGATCTTGGCTTGCTCCTGCACCGCGGCCTCCTGCTGCTGCTGGAGCTGCTTCTGGATCTGGGCGTGCAACTGAGGAGCCTTCGAGTTCATCTCGAGGGCCTTCTTGTAGACCTCGTTGCTTGGGTCCTCCTTGCACGCCTTGCGGAAGCACTCGCACGCGCGATCAAAGTAGTCCTGCGCCTTCTCCACGGAAGCGTGAAGGAAACCCTGGCTCGTGTAAGCGTTTCCCAGGCACCACAGAGCCTCGTGCTTCCTTGGATCGATTTTCAGGGCCTGCTCTATCTTCTCCACCGCTTCCTCGATGCACACGATCGACTCGTGGCCCTGCTTCAAGTGCGCGAGCTCAAGGAGAGCTCCTCCCCACCGAACCAAAGCCTGAACATCCTTCGGGTTCTTCTTCACTTCCAGCTTGGCTTGCTCCTTCGCCGCCTCGAAGAAGATAAGTCGCTCCAGCTCCTCCGCTGCGAGGCCTTGGGTTCCGTCGCTCGCCATCGTCCTCCCTTCCGTTCTACGCTCTCAAGCCCTCGTGCTCCTCCGCCGGCCGCTCTCCTTCTCCTTCTGCCGCTCCTCGGGATCGATGAAAACCCTTCACCCATAGGCGTCACTTTTTCAACAAGGCAAGACACAGAGATAGAGAGATAGAGATAGAGAGATAGAGATAGAGAGACACTCCACTCTTCACTTCACTTCAATGTTGGGGACGGTCCTTTCCTTTCCTTTCCTTGTGGAGAGGGACCAGAGGGACCGCATCGTGCAGCACCCTGCCCGGTCCAGCCCGCTTCACGCTTGGATCCTTTCCTGGAGGAGAGGGAGGGAGGGAGGACGGCGACGACGAGAGAACGGCCAGCCTGCAAGAACATTTTCTCCGGGACCTCTGCTTGGATCGGTTCCGTTTAAAACGACGTAAAACGTATATACATTCATCTATAATTAACCATCTCTCTTTCTCTCTATATAAGAAGTCGTGAAGGTTCGTCTTTAAGCCTTGATGGCCGCGAGCTGTCTCTTCGTGAGCTTGGCCGCAGGCTTGTCTGGCTGTGGGACAGGGTCCTCCTTCTCGCTGAGGGTGAGCTCAACGTGGCATGGGGACGACATGTAAGCGTTGATTCTACCGTGGGCCCTGTACGTTCTTCTCCTTCCCTTCTGAGCCTGGTTCACCTGGATGTGGGACACGTACAAGGAGTCAATATCAAGACCCTTGGTCTCGGCGTTGGACTCGGCGTTCCTGAGCAAGTCAAGAAGAACCTTGACGGACTTCTTTGGCCATCTTCCCTGTCCGTTCGTGGATCCCTCGTTCTTCGCCTGAGCGGTTCTTCCGACGCCTCCGCAGAACCTGCGGAACACAATGACGCGCTTGTGCTCCAACACATCCTCGAGGTACTTCTTCGCCTGGAGGAGTCCCATCTTCTTAATCGCCATGGCGCTCTCCCTGGTGTTCTTGAAGTGAACCCTCAAGTCGCTCCCGCGAGCCTAAAACAAAAACAAATGAAAACGAAACCACGAAACTCTCCAGTCAGATGCCCAGTTCCATGAGAAGAAGAACAAGAAGAAGAAAAAAAAAGAAACGCAGAGAAGGGAACGAGGAGAGGCGTCGTCGACGGCGAAAGCAAATCTCTTCCCACCCCGTGCCAGTAACACCACACTCTCCCTCCCACACCTCCAGTCCCAACACAAAACCAAGAGAGAGGGACGGACCCAAGAGCTCTCCTCTCTGTGTTCGCCGTCGTCGTCGTCGTCGTCGTGGTGATGGTTGCTGCAGAACTCGGGTTCCTTACCTTGGCGGACTTGGTAACATTCACTGGTTCTCTCGCGTACTTGACCATCCTGCTCAACACTCGTCGTACTCGTCCCGGTCGATCGTATGGTCGGGTTCTCTCTCTCTCTCTCTCTCCTTCGCTCCTCTGGGCCAATTCGAGCGAAAGGCGGCGGCGGCGTCCTCACTTCAAATTTCAAATACAAATATCAAATGTGGAAATGTTGGTGGAGAGAGAGAGAGAGATTTCCACAAGAGGAAAATCTGCGGTGCACAGTCGAGGAGTACTGACGGGGCGCACGAGGTGAGTTTGGAGGGTGTTTTCGCACCGAGTCGAGTTGGTGCTCGACGTGAGAGCGTTAAGAATGGATGCGTTATCTCGTGATCTCTTCTGAGACCCCTCGATCGTGAGAAATGGACGACATTAAAGGAAGTCGAAGACTGATTGGTTTGGGTTTTGTCTGTTCGTGGGACTCCAGGAGGAGGAGCAGAGTGCGAGCGAAGCGCTCACGCCTCGTCGCTCATTTCGCCCGCTCAGACGATGCTAAAGTCGGCTCGCTTGCACAGGTTCAAGAATTCGGGGCAGAGAGCGGCTCTTCTATCGTCGAGGACGTCGGGGAGACAGGAGCAGACGCGCAAGGCGAGGTTGGCG